CATTGCAGTCAATGGAGGAATGTGCGTAAAAATGCCCAAAAACGCACACGAAAATGTGCAACATGCTTCTGTCGTGCATTTTCTGGCATTTATATTGAAGTCTATGGGGAAAAACAAGCTTGAAACTGCCAAAAGAAGCTCATGTACAATTTCCTGCTTTTGGCATTTTTCCTGCTGGAGTTTTGCTGATCAGGTGTGAACAGGGGCCATTGAAAATCATGGGATTTCTTGTGTTGGGTGTTTTAAAAGCTGTTCTGTATGCAAAGAAGAACACACCCATGTATGTGTATCAATGGTGCTAACACCATTCAGTCAGGGCTGGGTTAAGAACATCATGGGCCCGGTGCTGCCGGTCAGTCAGACAGGAAGCAGTAGAGGAGGCTCCTCGCTCCTCACTAGGCCCTCAAATCTGCCTAATTAGAGAGACCTTATAAGAATGGTAGACTGACATGGTCTCAGCTGTTGGAGGCGTGCTAGGCTCAAGGTGCAAATTTCTCGACCGCTTCACCTCCGGTGTATCTGTGTCATCCAAATGCGCATGCGCATTGAGTCTAGCATTCCTCCAACATACGGTTGCCACCTGTCCAGGATTCACCCGGACAGTCCGGGTTTTGAATGCTGTGTCCGGGTTTCATGGCAGCTGAAACCCGGACACAAGATGTCAGGCAGACAGGTGCAACCAAAATTAAGATAGAGGCTACTGGCCCCCCACTGAAAATAGTCTCAACTGTGATATTTACATATGAATGGGTGGCAGCATTTACTTATGAAAAGGCTGCGACTCATTCTCCAAAGAAAATGTCCGTACATCGCTAGAGTGTTCGGGTTTTGCTTGAAGAAAAGGTGGCAACCCTACTCCAACAACTGAGACGGTGTCACTGGAATTGGCGTAGTTCAGCATTCATATGAGGTCCAGAAAAATTATAGAACGTGGTGCCTCTGTCTTATTGTGTTCAACCTGACTGGCCCAGATTGCCATCAGGCATACTAAAGCCAGGCCTAATTTAAGTGGTGGGCCTGGAGCTAGCGATCCAATAGCCCCTATGTTAATCCAGCCCTGCATTCAGTCATGCATTATATGGTAACTACACAGCCACACAGCAATGTATATACCTTTTACAGAGTTCTAAACAGCAGTGTTGAAGGAAACCTGTATTGAGGTAGTGTAGTCTGTGATCACTGGCCTAGCCAACTCAATATGGCTTGAGTACTTTCAAAGTTACTGTCTCAGAACAAGTATGGAGATTAAGAGTCCGGGTTTTACTATCTTGCTCTGCATGGTTGTTCCACAACAAAGTATTGAAGCCAGAGACAGCCGTGGAACAAGCATTTTCAGAAGGAAGTCTTCAATGGCCAAATCCATATTTCGCTTGTTTATATTTTTAGTACACATAGCATTGAATTGCAGTCAAAGTCAAAAGAGGATTCTATTTAAGTAAAATGAGGTATAGTTTATTGTATATGTATCCTGGGTATTTATAGCCATACAGCACCCCAAGCTTGGTAAGTAAATGTGTTTAGAAAATATAATACGTATTCAACTGACATTCTAAGCCTTGAATAGATGGCTGTCCTGAATTGTTTTAAATTGGTATTTTGTAATGGACAATAAAGTTGCATGTAGTAAACTAAATGTATGCACCAAAATTACACAACTAATAGCAACTGAGGTTATAAGTGCAATTACTGTACCATCACCATAAATTACTTAAACTTTCTAACAGTGTTTAATTATTTTGCAAAAACTAAAGTATACTTATACATTTAATTTACAGGGCTATTGCAGAATTGTTTTCACTATCTATATTATTGTCTTTGCTTATAAATAAAGATTGCTATTTTTTTTTTCATTTAACCACCTGCTGTCCGGCCGTTGTAATTAAATGGCCGGACAGCGGCTTCTTGAATGCGGGTGGGCGTTGTTAAACGTCCCATCCCGCCCCGCTCGTGCCCGCCGCTAGGCAATGTAATGTTGCCTAATGGCTGTTTACATACAAGCGTTCGGGCGTCTGTAGAGACGCCCGATCGCTTGTAATATGCGTGCGGGTGTGCGGCCCCCCTCCGCCGCAGCTGGCGATCCCGAGCTCCGCTGTGCCCGGTGTGAGCCCAGGACCAGCACAGCAGCTCTGGGGCTGGAGATCAAACAGAGCTCAGTACACGAGCTCCGTTTGATCTCAGTGTCACTCTCCGGTACAGAAACCGGAGAGAAGCTGGTGAAGCAGGTGTTTGCTTCATCAGCTTCTCTGGGGGTCCCTAGGTGACATCTAGCAGATCTGTGCTTCATCAGCCTTCTCTGGGGGTCCCTAGGTGACATCAGGGGTCTTAAAGACCCCTGATGTCTCCATAAAGAGGGCCTGTCACTGAAAATTGGCTATCACAAAGGGGGCTTGTTAGTCCCCTATGTGATAGCAATAAGGTTAAGTGAAAAAAAAATGTTTAAAAGAATTAGTTACAAAAAAAATTAAAAGTCCCATATAAAGGTAATAAAAAATGTAAAACATTTTTTTAAGTCCCCCGCCCCGCACATACACATGCAGACATGCGTCGAGTGCGCCTAAGTGCGTAAACGACAATTGCATCCATTACGCCGCACATGTTACGTATCGCCGCAAATGTCGCAGTGAGAGCAATAATTCTCGGCCCATCAATCGCTGATAACACTAACCTGATGAGCGGTGAAAGCTTTTAAAGCGTCGCCTATGGCCAATTTTGGGTATGGTAGTTTTTGCGAGTTCGCGGACGCACGCAATTTTAAAGCTTGACATGTTTGGTGTCTATTTACCCGACGTGACCCCATCTTTTATATTTTGCCAAAAATTTGGGTAATAATAACTGTTTTATAACATAACGTAGGGAAAACTGTTTTTTTCCAAATTTATGGTACTTTTTTCATTATATAGTAAAAAAAAAACAAAAAACCCCAGTGGTGATTAAATACCACCAAAAGAAAGCTCTATCTGTCCCCCAAAAATTGTATAAAATTCATTTCAGTACAGCGTTGCATGACGGAATAAACGTCAGTCAAAGTACCGCAGCGCTGAATACTGAAAAATGGCCTGGACAGGAAGGTGGTGTCAGCAAGTGGTTAAAGCAGTTCACGCCATAAACAGTGCGTTCCAGAGCGGTCAGGCCCTGGAACACACTGAATCAGATTCTGGAGGCTTCCTGCGTTCAGGGGCGGGAGGGGGCGTAGCGGTGCATTGAAGTCAATGGCACCATAGCCACGCCTCACGCCCACAGTGTGATCGCCTGCACCCGAACGCGTGGCAGATCAGTGCCTGCGTTCTGGTCCAGTGCCTTCTGCAAAAATAGCGCTTGCAGCAATTTTGCAGATCGCACTGGGGCGTGGCTGCAGTGCCATTGACTTCAATGCACCACTACGCCCCCTCCCGCCGCTGAACCCAGGGAGCCGGCTGGGTTGCGATACAGTGCGTTCCAGAGGCGTACCTGGAACTCACTGTTTGTGGTGTGAACCCGACCCTGAAACCTAAAAAAAAACACCTGTCATATATTGCAGTTTTACCAATCTTTAGATGTGACAGCTGCATTAGTTTTCTTTTTTTCAGATTATTTTTCCATTGTTTTTACCTGTGATCTTGCTAGTAGCCCTTCCTGTCCCATGCTGACAATGCTCACTGACGATATTGTATCTATAAAAGAGCAGCATTGTCACCCTAGGCAATGCTACTGAGCTACAAATGCTTCTCCTCACCTACATGGAGGACCAAAGCTATGAGAGAAGGTTACTAAATTTAAACATGTTCACGCTGGAAGTGAGGAGATTAAGGGGGGACGTGATTTTCATGTACAAAATGTTCAATGGTGACAGCAACATCAGCAATAAACTTTTTACAGTAAACTCCATAACAAGGACTAGAGGCCACCACCTAAAATTGGTGGATAAAAGATTTAAGCACAAAGGGCTTAGGGGCTTGTTCTCAGTTAGAGCGGTTAGATTTTGGAACTCTCTGCCACAAGCAGTGTTATCAGCTGAGAGTGTTGAATCATTCAAAAAGCATTTGGACAATTTCCCCAGGGACCGTAACATACAGGGGTACGGGTACCCTTAAAAACAAGATCACACAGGGACTCATACACACGCAAACACATGCATAATCACATACATACACGCAGTAGGTTGAACTTGATGGACCTGTGCCTTTATTCAACCTCAAACACTATGTAACTATGAAACATGTTATACAGGGAGGTGTTTTGTAATTCATAGAAGAGAACAGGAAAAGCTGATAACATTGTTTGATGTTTCAGTTCAGTGCACAGGAAGTTACAATAACACTGGGTTTCTGGCAGGGTCAACAGGTATGCTTCTATACTTGCAGAAAATGTACTAAGAGTGGAAAAAAAGGGAAACTAAAGCAGTCACCACATGCAAGGACTGGTATGCTGCAAAATATTACATTTTTGTTTGTGGGTTTAGGTATATTTTAAGCACACAAGATTATGCTTCAATAAACTCTAAGAAACACCTATTGGAAAATCAAACGAAGGATCAATTAAAAGTATAGACTAAACCAAAGGCATCTGCATACGCAATCAAAAGCTTGCTTTAATTAGACATGTTAAAGTAGAATCTCTGTTAGGAGTCTACACATAGCTGACTTTCATTATTTATACCCTTTCCAATATCACAGATATTGTAGATTTAAACACATGATGCAGTTACAGTATGCACTGATAAATGACACATAGATCAACAGCTTCAAACACTTGCCATCAGTCCCAAATGGTCCAGGACTCTTATGGGATTCTGACAGAGCTGAAACGTACTCCAAAAGTGCTCATGGGTGGAGAAGGTGGTGCAGAACATTGGGGCATGGCTTAACTTGTTCTTGATTTTCTGCTAGTAAATAATGTTCACACTGAAAAGTGGCGCAGATAACTAATACAGTTATAGCATTGAAATAGTGAAAAACAGAATTAGATGACTAAAATACCATGATCTCTTGAAGTGTGGATAGAATTGTCATAGCGAGGTTAAACCTAGATATGAAATGATAAACATAGTTAAGGTATTGTGTGCTATAAATCTACCAGACATATTTTTCTTCAAGTATCGGATGCTTTTTTAAAAAGTTTATTGCCATTGTACGTGCTGTTGATAAATCTCCTTGGTCGATTATTCATTCGCACCTTGACATACTAGGATTTAGCTTTTCACTTAATTTATGAATCAAGGCTGACAACTCTTCAGTGGCTTGTGATTTGTCTTCGAGGAGTTCATAGCGGAGGCTGGAAATATCTTGTTTTATTTCTTTTAATTCACCTGGAAAAAGAACACAGAAGTCGTTGACGTTTAGATAGATTGCTGAGAAGGTTATTTTTGTCTGCTGAGGAAGTTTTCTTTTGTTTGCAGATTGCTTGCTTCTAGCAGCACGGAATGTCATCACTTTCAACATAGTCAGCTTTTATAGCCAAACCCTTTTATTAGTAAGAATTATATGTTTTTATTCATGCACTCTTTGGCTGGTGCAGTTGACTGAATGGAGTCAGCCAAGGCCTAACAAAAAAATCCATGAATCAATGCTTTTATGTAACTCCCTGGTACCCAAACTGTGGCCCTTTTGCACTTAAAGGAGAACTATGGGGTCAGTGTTTTTCCCCATAGTTCTCCTTAGGGTCCTCCCGTAATTAGCGTCCTCCCGTTACCCTAAGCTCAGTATACCGCGAGCTACAGCTCGCGGTATACTGAGACGCCGCACCTGAAGCGGATCCCGACGTAGATGACGGGATCCGCCCAGCTGCGTGAGTGACAGCTGGCTCTGCCTACCTAGAGGTGTTGTGACTTAAAAAAAGGTAGAGAAACGTTGCCCTAATAACACTATAAAATTATACAGTGCTGTGTGTTTTAGTGAGCCTTACCTTCGTTCACTTCATCATTTTCTCTGTCCACCTGAGCTCTGAGCACATATCTTTTTATAAGTCTTTTCATTATTTGCTGTCAGAAAAAGTGACAAGAAGACACAAAACATGAGTCCCTCCAGTGCTGTTGTCAGCATTGTAAGAATAGGTAGCGGCTTGTTGATCTCAGTACATGTAAACATATAAGCCATGTAAAATATACAATTGTATTGCAATAATAGCTATCACAGTAATACGTCATTATGAATCAATTAACAAACATTTTGACATTGACAGCTTTATTAAAACGATTAGGAATGACTCACTTGATAGCGTGTTGGCTGATGTAGAATACTATTGAAGCTGCGAGACTCAAACACCTTGGTGCTAGACTGAGAGAACAGATTGAGCTGTAAGGCAAAATGAATGAGTTTAACTGGAATCCCAATTAATAAGAGACATTCTAATATAGAATATATGTAGGTAAAGACAATCCAGCACTGAATCAGTCATAGTATTGGTTTTGTTTCTGCATATTTGTATTATATACCAAAATAACAAAGAAAAGGAAATCAACAAGGAAATATCCTTCATTAGTCAGACAACAATATACTGTTAAAACCACAAGAGAAAAATAGAAGTTATACAATAAACAAAGGCACAAAAGTAGGGATGTCCCGATACCAATACTAGTGTCGTTATCGGGGCCAATGCAGGGCATTTTCACGAGTACTTGTGAAAATGCCCCAATACTAAAGACAGATACTGGCCCTTTAAATTTTTAAACAAGAGCGGCTGCCTGAAGTCCTGCGCTTGCTGTGGACCTCAGGCAGCCTGCTGTGGACCTCACGGCAGCTGTCTTTGACTGTGCCGGTCTGGCCCCACATTTCCTCTCTCCCTCACAGCCCTGGTGAGACCCAAACACAGCACTAGTGGGACCTGCACGCAGCCCAGGTGAGACCCGCATGCAGAACCACAACAGCTGAAGGGCTTGGGTTTGCCCACCCCTGTTCTGGACTCTTCCCAGTCTCTAACTGGACATCAAAAGGAGAAGCATCACAGTGATGACTCTGCTCTGTCATGCTTCTTGTCAGCACATAAACCAAATGGCTTCTTGTGCTGCCTAATCCACACTTTAGACTTCCTGTACAGGGACTGCAAGAAGCTTATACCTGATCAAATTCTGATATTTACATTGCTTACATTTAATAAAGTATTATTGATTAGAGAGCTGCATTTATTTTTGTCTTTTCTATAAGTTTTCTGCTCTAAAACTGACTATTTCCATTCTATTATAATCTCAGTCTGTTTTCTTCAGTTTAGGAGAAAACAGGAGATCTTTGAATTCAATGCTATTGAATCCACAAATCTTGGCCATTGCTATGCACCATGAAAACCATACCTGATATGAGATACGGTTAGCTTGACTTTGGCAGCTAAAACCATTGAAAGGAAATCTGAAGACAGAATTTCAGTAAATAATCATCTCAAAGTAATCTTGTTCATTTTAAAGCCGTGCACACAAGCTGCACATACCCTTTGCTCCCCCACCCGCTCCAAATGTCTGCCGTGAGCAAACAGAGGAAGCCATAAACAAGTGCCACATTGGGGCTTGGAGCAGGGCGGATTAACGTCTCCTTGCCCTAGGTAAAGGGAGTAAATTAAATGCTCCCCTATACCTAGGAGTAGACGGTATTTGATGTGCTTCCGATGGTAGAACAGAGCAGCCAGGGAGCATAAAAAATGTAAGTATAAGCTGCTAGTGGAGCCCCCTTTACTGTTAACCTGTTGCTTCAGCCTGCATAGGCACATGCTTGCTTTAAGAAAAGCAGGCTACACCTAACATTTCTAGGAAGAGATTCTGGAGGGGACCATACCACCCAAAACAAGAGAATTTTGTATCCATAAAACAGGCATGCTGAAAACCAGATTCCCAATCCAACACTGTTCTCATTAAAGAAGACTCAGTGATTTTTTCTCAATTGTTAAGTAGTGCTAACCTCCCCAGCCCCCTGGGCAGATCACAGGTAAGCTTGGCCATAACATGTTTTAAATCTTGCTATGGAAACCAGGATACAGTAGAATAAATTGTCTTACGATCTAGGTCTTTGATCAGTAGAGTGAGAATCTGAAGCAGGTAGGTCAACTCTGGTAATAAAAATGATTTGAGCAGCTGGATTCTACCTTTTAAATGTAAATGTAACGATCGCATAGGTTCATAAGATCAATAATTTAAGCTATAACTACTGCAAGGCAGGAAAAAAAAAAAATCAGTTCTTTAACCCCTTCATGACTGAGGCCTTTTTTTCATGTTTTGAAACCCGTGTTTCTTTTTTTTTCTTTATTCTGACATGGAGCCGTTTTTGCCCATTGGAATCCATTGCTAGATTCCTATTGGCTATTTCAATTTGCAATAGCCAATAGCAAACTAGCATTGCACCCGCCCTCTGCTGCAGTTCTCCATCAGGTCCACCACTACTGATTGACTGATTACTGATAAAGAAAAAGCAGTGTATCTATCCTGGGCGGCCGGCAGCGGGAGACTCCAGGAGCGCCCGGGAGAGATTTTTTTCTGAAGCCAAACATGCATAAAACAATTACCATATTTAATACGGCAGTACACAAACCAGTGGGGATGTACAAATCGCAGTAACCCTCGGCTCTCGTTCACATCCCTCTGTTGCGGGAGTGTGTGCAGTGATGCACGCGATACCACATTGCATGAGGTTCGATTGAGCGCATTGGCACTGTCCGGGCACACGCACACCAGCAGCCATGTGGTTGAGCGTGGCTCTGCTGGTGTGAACAAGCATATCTAAGGGCCACTGTTGGTAAATAATGTAATTTTCAAAGAAAAAAAAAACATAATATATTTTATATGTAATGGGCAAATATATTTTTAAAAAACATTTATGATAAACATTCTTTAAAATCATTGTAAGACAACCATTAATTATCCTATGCCAAGTTTATGTTTTGCTGCAAAACAGTTATGTAATACACCACTATGCAATAAACTACAAATATAAATTCATGAGATTATCTGCAAATACAAGATAGCTTGGCACACAGACATCTTTCCTTTAGAATGTTTTAGGCAGGTCACAGAGGTAGTATTTCTATTTTGGACAAGTAATTAAAATGACTTTAGTGGAGTTCGGATCTGGCCCTCATTTAATTTAGGGATTGGTGTAGTAATTCACAATTAATTATTGCGGGGTCTATGTCAAAATTGTTCTGCATTTAAAACTGAACTACAGACAGATAGAAAACGCACACATCAATGAAGCTCTGCAAGCATTAATACTTCATTATTTAGATTTTTTTTCATAGCTATTTATATAGTGCAGACAATTAACAAAGAGCTTTACATAGTTTCACATTCATATCTGTCCCTACCCTCAAGGAGCTTACAATCTAGAATCCCAATTAGACACACAGAGGGTCACTTTTGACAGGATCCAGTAAACTTTCCAGCATGTCTTTGGAGTGTGGGAGGAAACAGGAGTACCTGGAGGAAACCCACACAAGCACAGGAAGAACATGCAAACTTAATGCAGATAGTGTCCTGACCAAGATTCAAACCAGTACCTAATTTTGACCTGATATCAGCCCATTGCAGCACCTATACAATCTACACAGCAGAGTTCAACGAGGTGACAGAAGGAGTAGCACAAGTAGCAACATCAGGTCCCCTCCTCTGCTAGACAGTTATGCTGTGTAGCATAGCTGTGTATATCTCAGGATGGACATCAATTCAAATACTTTGGCAAGTAAACAACTCCCATATATGTATTTAAGGCCCGTTCACATCAAAATTGGACCTCAATTGCCAATCAACAGAAGTCTGAACCTTCCGTTTACATCTGTTGTGTTAACGTGCATTTACATGCGTTGTGTTACATTAAGCTGAAAAAAAAGTAGCGTCTACTTTTTTTTTCCAGCACACTGCAACGCAATGCAGCAGTGTTGTGAACTGGCCCCATTCATACCTCATACCCATTCATTTTTTGGTGCCCTTGCATTGGCATCCGTTGAAAAACAGATGTCAACGCAAGGCAGTGGGTCTGGTGTGAATTAAGCCTTAATCTCTGTATTTAGCTGTCTGTCCTGAGTTTGTTTTTTTAAATTATAATCCCTCTTTAATGTATTTAATTTATGTTTCTTGTTAAAATTTTACTTTGATTGGGAGTTTGGTAAAAAAAAAAAAGGCAGATCATTCATCTGCATAAAACTCCATGAACAGCAACGCAGAAAATAAATTTGATTCAACTCTATAATGTCAGTATATGCTGAAACAGTTTGCAGAGTATATAGAGCACATCAGTTCCCGCCACCAAATAATTTGCAACCTACTGTTGTAACTAGCAAACTCAAAGGAAACCAATAAAGAACATGGAAGAACGTACGAACTCCATGGCAATTATTTTAAACAAAAATACTGTGTTTTTGCTGTGCATATATCTTGTTCATTAAAGCATTCAAATAAATACTGGAAGGGATGGCCTGCAGAAGGGAATTCCATAAAAAAGGGCGCAGCAGGAAAGGGGAGAAGATAAAAATAAGCTAGAAACACTGGAAGTTACTTAGGCAGACATACAGAAAGACTGTATTATAGATGACTTTGTAGGTGAAATCTACAAATTTGAATTGTATCCTGTAGTTTGTATGCTGGATTTATGAAAAGACTTTGTATGGCCAGGTTTGCAAAGTTTCAGGGAAAAGCAGGTGATTATAATGCGTCTTATTTTCCAGTGTAAGGATATATCAATAGCATTCATATTTAATTACTTGGAGGCTATACTAATTACATTTTAATTTACACAAACTATAGCCACAGAGATCTGTGGTCTTACAACTGCACTGAAAGGTTGCCTGTGGGTGGTTTTTATTGAAACCCTTCCTAACTGGAAGCCGATGGAGAGCATTCTAATTGCTAGGACCTGTGGCTTGCACCATGACCTTCTTCTCCATTAGGCATAACCTGGAATTGTAGCAGAAGACAGAGTACATAGAGGCAAGCAGTTAAAGCGGAACGGGATAAGCAAATATTGTCTAAATACAAGAGGCATGTGTATTCTTGTATATCTTGGTGTGTTTTGTGTATTTCTTACAGATCTGTACAATAATCCAGTGTAAAACTTTTCCTCTGTCTAGGAGCTTCCTGTAAAAAAACCCAGTCAATGCTGTTCTCTCTCCTTGTGCAGGGTCACTGGTCTTGTATCCGACCCCCTCCTGTAGTTTTGTGCAGGCAGCCTGCTGGGTACCTCCCACAACGTGCTGTCTGCACAGGCAGTAGTGTCACCACTACTTTTCCAATCTAAAACCTTTGTTGGCAAAAGCATTTGGTACATAGTACATACAGTGTGAATGTATATCATTCTTTATATTAAGGAATATATGTGTTTGAAAGTTTATTGGAGTTCAGCTTTAAAATGCATAATGAGAGCTGTTTTACAAGCCAAAGTATTTCAATATGTTTAGCCAGGATCTAAGCATTCATTTTAGGCACCGCTGCAGCTTTAGGAACACCCCCCCAGAAGGATGCTGACTGAACAAAAAAAGAACAACAGTACACTTATGAGACTCTGCTCTTTCCTTCTGTCCGTATATTCTTTGTCAGTACATATGCCCTGTAGCAGATTCATTCTGGCTAGTTCCTAGAGCTGGCCCTCCCTCCCCCAGACTTACTGTTAGAGTTCAGTTTAAAATTATTACATTAGCTACAATAATAAAATAAACACAATGACATCTTCCACTTGTGTTCCAACACATGAAACAAATATTTATAACAAATATGTAATTTATATGTAGTTTATAACATTGGTGAACATTTACCCTGGATTTGGAGTCACCCATCCCTATTTCAATGTCTTTCTTTAGCTTTCTTGTCCTGCACTTGCAGAAGTTGACGATCCTTAAGATTAAGTACACAAAGGATTTTGGACTTGGCACAACGCTGAATGGAGGTGGAAGTGTCTTCCCATCATCGAAATAAGACAACCATAATTTTGATCGAGCAAATTTCCATTCCACATCGCTATCATCCTGGACACAGTAGAAAGAGAAAAATGATTGTACACATTGACTTAATAGGCATTTAACATTTTAAAGTCTTTTCATTTTGATCACTTAGGACCTGCTTATTCCAGGAACTCATTGGATCTGCATTACAATTATACTGCTTTTTTTTCATTTTGCTTGTTCACATCGTTGTGTTAAAGGGATATTAAACTCAAAATGTTTTAAGCTATTTCCAATGCTGATTGAAGCACTAACAATGGATACTGCTCCTTGATGTTTACAGTGTTTCCTGCAGAATTAGCTGGTCCCCTGAGCACTGGCAATGACATCCTGTTTTGGGGTTGTTTCTTTCTCTTGCAGTGTCCTATGGAGCCATCCTTGTGTGTGCTAGTAAGCTGTGTGTGTGACAAACACACAGGCACAGCAAGGCAAGACACTCCCGGGTTCCCCCTCCTCCTTTCTCCCTACTCACCTACTCCCGTTTCCAAGCTAGTAGATGAACAGCTAATTGACACTGTGCTATCCCTTGTGATCTTGTACTGGATAGGAAGTTCAGAGAAGCAGAGCTGAGGAAGTTAGAGGCAGCTGTTTGCAATGATGAATGTTAGTGCTTGGGCAAAAATGTAAAGAAATACTGTGCTAGTCAATGTATATTTGTTTGATCTGGATTCATTATTGAAAAAATTTTGAGATTGAGAGTTTAATACTACTTTAAGTTAAATAAATCTGGCATGCAGCAGTTTTAGTGCATTCTCAATAAAGATCAGTGACATTGGTGTACCAAAAGCTGAAACATTGTTTTTGGGTGGATCGGCCCTGTAAGTATATGATACAATAGAAAGGCTACAGTTTAGGAGTGGTGTTGCATGACACTCTATATCCTTGGTTCTCAACTGGTGGGTCGTGACCCAAAAGTGGGTCGTGACCATGTGTTCAGTGGGTCGCGGCATGCGTTCCACTTTTTTAGGCGAGAAGCTCTTCAGCCTTCTCCTAGTGCAGCACTGTCAGTTCTCACGCCAAGCAGCCATTCAAAATATGTTGCACGGCGCTGAGCATCAGCTTGAGGTGGAATGGGCTGGGGATATGGACGTGAGGAAGCTCCATCCATAAGTGCATTGCTTACAGCTCCCTCACGTGCCTTATAGAGGTGCCTGGACCGGAGTGACATCACATTCTGGCTCTCAGCACCTCCACAGGGCGTTCAAGAGAGTTGTACAAGCACTGCACATATGGATGGAGCTTCGTCACAGCACAGCAGCCCATACTGGATCCCAGGCTGAGGATCGACTCCAGTTTTTGTAAGATAGGGAGACTGGGTGGACCTAAAAAAAATTAAAATATACATATACATTTATTTTTTTTAGTGTGTATGTGTGTGTGTGTGAGAATGTTTTTGTGGTTGTGTGCGTCTGTCAGTGTTTTGGGGGCCCATTCACACTAGTACAGTGCGTTAATCACATAGTACCGTGCGATTAACGCACTGTATCACACAATCACTCCTACTGTGCATTCTGGTGTAGGCCGCCCGCACCGGAATGTGCGGTACCCTAATGCTGTGCATTCCATTGCAGTTCGACTCGGGTCGCGACTTAATGACCGAGGACAAATGTGGGTCCTGAGGTTACACAGGTTGAGAACCACTGCTCTATATGAATCACGAGTGAAGTTATTCTTTCCAGTGTGAAGCCCTTCTCTCAGTTCATTCGTCAGCTGATAAAAGCATATGGTGTTTGTTACTGATGAGTTGCAGCACAGCAGGCAGAAATGAGACAACGGTAAATTTGCAGTTATCCTTTGTGCACGTCTTCAGTGATCCATAATGGAAGCTAGAGCATGGTTGAGGTGATGTAAATGCTGTTTCCCTTCAGCAAGCTTCTAATACAAGATGTACAGTACAGAAGACTAGGCATAAATCGTCCCAGAGGAAATCACCTTTTTTTTTTTTTTTTGCAGTCCTTGAAATGTGATAAAATTCATAGCCTTGGCCAGTTATGTCATCTAATCTATATCCACAAGGCTTATGGGTTAGAGGACCCAACTTAGTGAACAATCCTTAAAATATAAATGAGACAATGCTTTAGAACAAATCTGGAACTGACTGTTTTTTATTTGATGGGGACTTAACATTTTATTATTTATAAAATATTGATTACACTCAAGAACTCATCAAGTCACATTCCCTTGACAGCTGCTTTCACACCCGGAGAAATGCAATTTCTAATATAGGTTGTGGGCAAATGTGAACTTCTTTTTTTTGGCATTCATTATTTATATATAAATCTACCACGGTAGCCTCCATAAGTGGTACAATTTTTTAGCTATTACAGAATTGTTTTGAAATTATTTTAGAGAAGGCTCAAGAAGCTCTGCTATATTTTGCAGCTTTTTATGTTCAGCATATGTGACTCATGTTATCTCTATCTGTGATTGGTTACAGAATGTAACCAATGATCATCACAGAAGGATGAGAATATTGTTACAAATGACATTCTGTCAGAGGTGGTAGGTATAAAGTACTTACCTTGCCTCTTGGTTCCTCAGAGCACTGCTGTATCCACATTCCCAATCTTGTATTTCCTACACTGCCTCCATTCCAGGAGCATTACTTCCTAAAAATATCCCCTGGACAGTAAGCAAAGCAAAGGGATAAGAGAGCCAAGCAGTGAGTCTAATACAGGGGTGCCTACAATTTTTTGTGTTAAGATCTACTTTTCAAATGAGCTACATGAGATCTACCAACGAAAAAAAACACCTCCCTCGCTCTCTCTCTCCTGGCTGTCTCTCCTCGCTCTCCTGGCTGTCTCTCCTCACTCTCTCTCTGGCTGTCTCTCCTTACTTATCCTCCTGGCTGTCTCTCCTCTCTCTCCTGTCTGTCTTTCCTCACTCTCTCTCTCCTGGCTGTCATTCCTCGTTTTCTCTCTTGGCTGTCTCTCTTCGCTCTCTTGGCTGTCTCTCCTTGCTCTCTTCCCTGGCTGTATCTCCTCTCTCTCTTTTCTAGCTGTCTCTCCTTGCTCTCTCTCCTGTCTGTCTCTCCACACTCTCTCTCCTGGCCCACCTTGCTGTATGTGGAAAACAGTGCAGTGCAACAGGCTGTGTAAACTAATATGCTTTGATGTAATACATAGCACTTCAACCACCAGTATCCACCAGAAAGGTGTCAGGGAGCTTGACTCAGCAGACTCAGGCTAATAGGTAATCATGTGTGCACAGCTAAATAAATATACCAAAATGGAATAAAGGGGCCACCATTCACACCCTTCGTGATCTACCAGCATCAGCTTTGAGAGCTACTGGAAGATCACGATCTACTGTACCTAATGGGCACCCCTGGTCTAATAGGTCTTCATTTATATCAGCAGATGTCATAAAAAATAGCCAATGCTTTTTGGGGATCACTTGTCCCTCTTTATCAGGGCTTAAAGTAGTAGAAAAGATACCAAATATCGACAAACTGGACTCTGGTCAGCTGTTGAGGAATATTATTAAGCTTGCATTGAAGGCTTATTTCACTTGCTGATGAGGCAGACTTATTAGTGAGCCCCAAAATGCATTGAATACTTTTTATGATGCTTGCTAATAATAATAATAATGACAAACTTGGCTCACTGGGAACCTGTGTGGCACTCTTGTGCTTTCCTTTTAATTACTGTTCATATTGCCATGGACCCACCTGGGCCTAGTGGCATGCTGAGAGCTGCCTTTCTCTATACTTTGAAAACCATCCCTCTCAATCCTGAGAGTAACTCCAGAGCTCCATCAACATTTCAATCCCTAAAAATGCCTTCTGCCACAGCATTCCTGGTGCTGCCTTTTCTGTCCCTAATCCCCACCCCCTTTATTTAACTACAAATCTTAACGGACATTGGGGAAATAGTGTAGTGATACATAATGATCAGATAAATGGTTCCCTGGCATCTACAGGGTCACATGTTAAATGGAAGCCAGGTTAGAATCTTGGCTCATGCCAACCTTTTGAGGCTCCACCTGAGACAACATTTCAACCTTCCTTCGGTATGGCCCTGATTCTTTACAATCATATTGCCATTCCGAGGACAGAGCTCACACACACATGCTGCTTATAATGGCACAAGTATTTTAGATGTAGATACATTTATAGTGGCAAGAGTATTTATACTGATGAGCATGGTCACAGGCTAAAAGAAGAAGATTTATTACAGAAAACAAATTAACTGTTAAACTTTAACTTTAAACATTCATGTGTTTCACTGTATATTCAATGCAGAATTAATTCTCATTAAGAAAGCAGTGTGAGCCTCATTTCCTGGCTGTTTACACTTACTGCATGCTGATGATGGTTTAGATGCAGCAGTAAGAATCTAATGTGAACCTCTGTAATCTTAGGCTCTGTAGTTGATTGATGACTATACGGGGGAGAGGTTTCCTCTAAGAATGCAAATATTTTAATAAATGTCAGTCCTATACATATACAATACACAATATTAAAGAGAAAAGTGTAAACATTTTAAATATTGTACTCTTAAGCTGGCCATACGCTGCTATGTGTATGCGGGGCTGAACGAAAGAAATGATTCGATTCCCCCATCCATGCTTAAAGCGGACCTTTACCCCCTTTTACTAAAAATCACATCAGCATGAAGCTGTGCATTCTGAAATGAAATCATCTTACATTCAGAAGTTAAACAAACACATTTTGCTTTTACTTACAATTACTGTTTTCACACTTCCTGGTTGAGGGAGGCACAAGTGATGTAGCCCTGGTCTCAAAGATGCATCCTGGGAAGGCTGCATGACCAGTGACTTCCTACAAAATCTCATCTGTAAACAGCAAAATCTCACAAGATCTCGAGGGAAAGGCATTTTCCCCCCTGAGATGATGTGCACTGTCGCATGTTCCAGGAGGCAGACCCAGAGATCCAGGAAGTAAAAGTAGATGGATTCATCTGCCCTTAGTAAAAATGTCCACCATGAGAAGAATGGGGAGGAATAGAAAAAAAGGATATGCAAGGAATAAAAATCCTGCAATTATCTACAAGTATCTGTTT